GAAGGTTCTCCTCTCTTCACAGAGGAACACTGAAGCTCCGACCCTGTGACCATGAGCCTCTTGGTCACCTTCCAGTTAAGGACCCTTTGGCTCAGCTTAGAGGGCCAAGCTCCAGGAAGTGGCTCCATGAGCAGGCAGATATTCATCCAGATCGCCATAAACAATGTAATTCTGGTACTAAAAGTATGTTTTCTATCCTTAAATCACTAAAGAATGCTAATAGACTTCTTTAAACATTTTAATGACATTTCTTAGACAATTGGATGCTTTTTACATTTTCTCCATTAAACTGCATGTCTGACGTCATCATCAGACACGCTCAGAACAGTCCAGCAAAATATGATTAAACCATGTTTATCCACATTTTAGTTGTTTCTGTCTTTGGGTTAAACACTATATGCCATAATGTTAACAAAAAAAAAAAAAAAAAAAACAACTCAAAAAGCCTAGATTTATGTTTAAACCCAAAGCCAAGAAGTTAGCTCTTAGCAGTAGCATAGGATCCCATTTCCAGCAGAGACAAGTGATAAAACAAAGGATTTAAATGCATTTATTTCTCAGGAAATACATTATTAACCTTTAACACATTATTGTTTAGTATGCTTACTATTTTCAGGGAGGGAAAATGTAATTTAGGCCTTTTTTACAAAGTAAAATGGAGGGCTACCCAGATGTATATCCGGTTGCTTAAATGAGCTGATGGTACGGATCGTGCTCCCGGGACGGATCGGGTATTAATGAGCACAAATGTTTCTGGATCCATCTCCAGATTAGGTTAACCTGCCTCTGTGGTACGAAGATATGAAGATTTGACTTTGTATGGTGTGTTTGTTCAGCTGTGACTCTAAACCTTACATAGACAGATGTTTGCCTTTTCCTAATCTTGTCCAATGAACTGAATTTACCACAGATTGACTATTTAAATGGTGAAAATATCTCTGCATCAGTGGAAACAGCTTAGTTTGCGGCTTCATGGAAAGCCTGTAAATTCTTCCACCATTTGGATTTTTCAAACATTTTGGAAACAATTTTTTGGAAAGACATTTATTTCAAATCATAAGAGAAAAGGCTGAACTCTAATTAGATTTGTGAAATTTTTGGATGTGCTTTTTTTGCATGCATTTAAGATTTTCTAATATATATATTTTTACATTAATTGATTGCTTAAAGAACTAATTAAGTAACAAAGCCATTGTTAAGAGTAACATAGCATTATTGCAGTTCATCTTTAACTGAAAAAAATAAAAAGACGGTTACTAACTGAGAAAACCTTTAACCAACTAAAAATGTTTTTATGTCTTTATAAACCAACTATTAAAATGAAAAAATGATTACCTTGTTTTTGTGTTTATCAATTACTTAAGCCTTACAAACTGATGTGAAATGTTATCCTTTTTTCACATAACTCTGTTCCCATTGAACTTTCATTACATGTACACAGTTTACACACCTTCCCATTAAAGAAAATGATAAATTCACAGTAGCAATTCAAATAACACAAAGCTGAAACATTAATAAAAATAATAATTTAGTAAAACAAAATCTTTTTTTCTAAAAAAACTTTAAAAAAAAAACTTTCCCAGATCAATGAAAGACAATAACTTATTTTTTGTCTGCATTCAGAAGCAGAAAGTTAACAGTCAGGTTTTTATGTCCTTAAGACATAAGACTAAACAAATTCTAAAAAACTAAAACTAACTGATATTGAAATACTTACAAATAAAAGTAAAGTAGAATAAAAAAATCCTAAACTGTTTTTATTTTGCTTAAGTATTTTCTCTTGGCAGACTTGGAAAGTTGCTGTTTGCTGAAAAAAAAAAGGACATTAGGCAAAACTGTGAAAAAAAAAAAAAAATATATATATATATATATATATATATTTATGCATTTTGGACTTAAGAGGAAAATTGTTTTCTGTAAATGTTCACTATCCAGAACTCTTTAAAGGAATAGTACACCCAAAACATGATTAGCCTTCATTTTCTACG